ACCCAAGTAGTAAAACAGCTGCTTCGTGAATTGTTCTTGATCCTTGTCTTCAAATCATCATCAAAATCCAATTGTTCAAGCAAAAAGGAACAAAATTCAGTACAAATTTTAACTTAATTGATCACCAATAAGATTTTAACAGATGAGAGAGAGAGAGAGAGAGAGAGACTGGCAAGGGCGTTATAGAAGTCACGGCCGAGGAAATTGAAGCCGACGCTGATGCCGGTAGTGGCGAGAGTGAGAGCGAAGACTGCGCCGAGCTGCATCCTCGCTTGCGCCTTGTCGTCGGAGAACCAATAGGGAGCCGCCACCTTCCAGAATCTTCGGAGGAGCGTCTGCAGTTCAGGCACCTCCCTTTGCTGCAGTAATGCGACCAACTCATGAGGAAGAAGAAGAAGGAGAATCAAATCAAAGAGAAAAAATAGAGAGAGAGAGAAAGAACGGACCTTTTCTGCAGCTGGCGGAACTGGCGTAACGGGCGGCGGCGGTGCAGAGCCCGAGGCGGCTGCGCGGCCAGAAGATCTCGAAGAAGAAGGTGATGATACGACGTCGTGGCTCCTCTTTCTCCTCCTCATCATCCAATTGCTGCTTCTACCAGTGCTGGACATGGTGGACAATGATGGAGATCTGGAGAAGAGGATCCAATTAGCATACGACGGCGTTGGTCCTCTTTCGACTCCGACGCTAACTCTCACTCCAAATTGGCGGTGGTTGGCGGAGTTATAGGCGGAAGATGAGCAGAGTGAGAAAGAGTGTGCTGGTTGTGCCTGTATAATCATTTTTTCCATTTTTTTTCTTTTCCCTCTTTTAACTGACTTTCCTTTTATTCTCCAGTGATTGATTTTCCTTCCATCCAAACAGTTTTTTTTGTGATAATTTGATTACTTGCAAATATCAAATGAGTGTATAGTTACAGTGCAGATTCTCAGAAAAATATGGATTATCCATTTCAGCAAGTTTTCATCATACGAATGATCCCAGTTATGCCACGCCATCATGCCACCCCTCCCTCGCATTTCCATTTTTATTTTATCCAGGGTACTTGTGTTTTGCAATATAGGGTCTAATTTTGATAGAAATATCCGATTTTGACCCATTTTGATTTAAAAGAACGGATTCAAAATCATTGTTCTAAAAATCGGCACTAGTCAAAATCATTGTTTTTAAAAATTTCTGTTTAGCACCGCTTAAGCTTTGTCTAGGCACTAGGCGGTTGGCCACAATTCCGATTAATGATTAGACGTTTGAAAATTAAGAAATGGTATCTAGACCTATTGAGCCGTCTGTCTAGACCGCCTAAACTCACTTAGATATCCGCCCAGGTTGCGACTCACTTAGACAGAAAATAGATAACTTTCATTTTGCATTTACACTATGTTTGGATGAGGGAAATAAACATGGACTTTTGGTAAAAGTTGGAATTTATAAATTGACAGACACCAATTCTCTTGTTTTGGATTCATAAACATAGAATTTAGAATTTCCTCGTTGAAAAAAACTTGGAATTTGGGACCACCAAATCCCACGTTCAAATTCCATGTAAATAAGTGTCATTTCTCAATTCTATGATTGAGAGTTTAAAAATAACAAAATTCCGTATTCAATTCCATTGTTATTTTAGGTTAACTAAACAAGAAAATTTACAAATTCTAGAAAATAAAATCTCGTCATTTCAATTTTCGTCATTTTTAAATTCCTTAGTAATCTTAAATTTCTTCACTCAAACATAGTGTTAATTTTTTCAATAAATTGTAAGAGATTTGTTGAATACTTGAGCACACATTATATATTTGTTCCTCATGTTTTCATTATGTTCCAATAGATCATAATATATATGTCATTCTATTTTGTAATTTATGATGAAATAATCTATATTTTAAGTATAAACAAACACTTATTTACACGAAATGTAATATATTTAATTAAATCCGCCTAGTCCACCTAGACGCCTAGGCGCTAGACCCTAACCCGCTGTCTGACTAGCGCCTAACATCTTTTAGACCTTATCCAAAACTAAAGTTGAAATTTTGAAATCCGAAATAACAAAACATGAATTGAATGTATTTAATATTTTGAACGATTTATCGGATTCTAGGTTAGGACTGAATAGCTTTTGTCTTGACAAGGGGTACTCTCCGATCCAAAATTTCGAAACTTGCATAACTCTATTATGTACACTTAGTTATGTACTTATTGACTTTGAATTTTTAATACAATGTTCTCAAACATGTAATATTTTTTCAATTACAACTCCCTTGAATCCATACATACAAAAATGAGAATTTGAAATACTCTAAAATTTGTGTTATGTAAGGGATCCATGACAATGAGATATTTTTTTATCTTGGTATAGATGAATCATACAACTCCCATAATTTTGAACATCGGTGGCGGCTAAAACCATGGATTATGACAAGCAAATCATATTCCGATCGAACATCAGAGGTTTCATTTCCTGATGTTCAATTTTTCCCTCCATCAATGGCGTAGCCAGAAATCATTCGGTTGGTGGACTAAACTAAAATTATTACTACAAAATCAAGTTTTTAATCCTATGTTGCCTACATAAAGTTATATAATAGTACAAACTTGAATGTAGTAATTTGAAGCAAGAATTTTATGCTATGTTTTCTAGGTTTCTAGCCTTCAAAGCTTTCAAGTGAATAAAATAAGGAACCATTTGTGATATGGAAGTTTTAATTTATTACTATTAAATATAATAGTGGTTAAAGTGAAGGGTTTATTTAACATCTATTAGCTCTTATTATTCTTAAAAATAGGCTTACTAATAAAAAAATTCATTTCTTATGTGAAATATGACAATTAAAAATCATAAACTAACCTAAAAATTAATATTTTTAAGCTTGAAGAACCAAACTCTCTCTATGCTATAGTCTAGGGAGCCTTGTAATTGGCTCCGCCCTTGCCCTCCATGTAGTCCCCTTTCGTATAGAGTTGTTATCGCTTGCTTAGAAATGTTCTAAACCCTAACTTCAATACCTTAATCCTAGAGTTGTTTACGCGTATTGATCCTTGGGTGCAAGCATTTATCGAAAATCCTTTTATAAGGAAAAATAATTTCCGTACACATCTTTTATTCAAACAACAAAAATAAACGTGTAGCGAAGAAAAGGGATGCGCGGAAGAGCTATAGGAGCTCGAACTGCTGCACAAACTAGAGGCAAACGGAACACAAAGAATAGCTAATTGAACGATTCATACAAGTATACTGTGTCAACAATGGCTCGAAAAGCATAATTCAAAGAGCATGGCAACAGAGATCGATAAATAACTCCCTAAGTTCTTCGTGCAAGGGACCTCACTGCTGTTCCTGTGTGAACTCATCTGTTATGACGTACTTGGTAGTTTGAAAATTGGAAAGTTTACTACTTGACAATTTTACATTTCAATACATTATACAATCAATGCTTGTGGAGTGGGACTGAAAGTCTCTAGATTTTGAAAGTTAAATGAAGGTTCCAAATTTTATGAGTGGCGTTAGAACCAAATTTGCTCATCATCATATGTGGAGGAGATGCACAAATTCTGAGTACTTGTAAAAGAACAAACGATCTTGAACATTGGGAATCGGTGGGGTACCGGCCAAAGGCTCTCCGACGGTCAAGTTAATAACAATATTAAGAGTCTAAAGTAGTGGGCAATAGAATAAGCAAAGAGCAGAGTTGCGTTATGAGTATTAAGTGTTACCAGAGTTATGCCCTAAATGTAAGTGTTACCAGGGTTATGCCCTAAATGAGGGTATTTAGACTAGCTAGGAGAGAGATCTTTTGAGATTTGGAATATGTACTAAACCGGGAGAATCTTAAATGATATCTAGAGACAGATGTTTCCTTTTAGAAGTGTGATTATTTGCGGCGCACACCAATTCTGCTGGCGCGTGTGTTGACCCTAAAAGCTACCAAGCCTACGTGATGCGTATGCCGAATAACTAATGAAGCTTACTTGGCGCGCAGGCCGAATAACTAATGAACTAACTACGTCCTTCTGGTGAATGCTGGCTTTCCAACCCATGATTGAGCTCCATTAGAAAGTCAAATGAATGTGGTGGTGGAGTCAAACACTTTGCTGACTTTTGTATCTAAGCAATCATGACCAAAGAAAGAACACATCTCAGTCTCTGGGTTCTAGAATCTGAAGACAAGGTTGATAGTCATTGTGAAGTTCAAATAAGATTCGGCTTTTCAATGTGTCAAAAATTGAGCAACATGCTAACACCTCATTTCGCAAGAAGACTAATGAGATGACCTCTTCCAATAAGAAGACCGAAGACTCCTCACTGACAAAGACTTGAATAGATAGTTAGTTGAACTCGAAGCAGTCCTATTACTCCAAACTGAAGTTGCTTATTCGTCACCTAACTCTACAACTTTGATGTCTATAGTTGCCAACACAGTGTACTTAATCCAAACTGAAGGTATGTTGATGAAGTTAGAGAAGTTAGTGTTTTCTCAAAGCTTTGAGAGGGTGTCGCGTAGAGCGAGAATTTGGGCATGACATTTTGTATTTTGAGTTGAAGGTTCTTTGAATGTTGCAGAACTGTTTCTATTTATAAAGGTGAATTTCGTGCTGATCATTCACTGTAGAGTCCACCTACTTCTTCGACGTCTCTTGATCCAATTTCTTATCAGATAATTGTGAACCATGCACAACCTTTGGTTGCTCTTACTAGAAATACGGCTCTAAACCCAGTCTTTTTTCTGCATTCGATTCATTCCCAATTGATCAACATAAGCCTTGATTCTTAGAATATTGCAAATCTGTTTTACTGTACTTTTACTACTGTTTTGCTTTTTAAAGATTCATTTGTATTTATAGTAAGAATTAGTTCCAAAAGTACTGTCATAAAAAACGCTCTCAGTTATTTTTAATTCCAAACACAAAGTAAAAATTTGCTCAATTAATACTTACCTCCGAAAAAAAAACCTCGATTAGTCTTTTTCCTTTTTCGTCTAAAAAACTAAAAATTTACTCGTATCAACTCAATTAATACTTCCTTTTTTTCTCAAAAGAGGAAAAAATATAAATTATTTAGCAAACAATGCTCTATGTAACAATACACAGTACAAAAATGTGAGAAACCGAGGCATCACATTATCTCATACACCGCCAATCCTACCAAGAAACCCAACAAAGCGCCGGCCGCGACTTCTACTTCACTGTGGCCGATCGATTCTTTTAGCCGAGTTGAAGTATTGGCAGCTCTTTCTAAACCTTCCTCGGCATTACTTCCTAAGCCCGAAGAAACCTGCGTCTGAGTAGCTTGCATTGTTATCTCCTTGGACTGAGACGCTAAAGGGCCATTTGTTGCTTTTGGTGAGAAAATGTTTGCTTCCTCAGACAACAGAGACTCAACGCTTTCCGACTTCAACAATGGTTTTTTACGTTGAGAGTTAATTCTACCTCCGTCCTGGGTGGGGACTGAGTTCACCATTGTGTTCAGGGGCAGCGTTTTGTTCAGTACCTTTGCATGATTGCCAACTTCTCTTCTCACCCCCTGCAAAAGTAAGGATTTGCCTTTAGTTTTGATCATGATGTTGAAAAAATGCACATTGACCAACTCATGAAGCGGGAAGAGTTCAATGCAGAAAAAAAAAAAATTACTGTCATTTGTGATTTTCCAATTCACCATAGACAAAGAAATGCAATATATTCACTAATCTCACAAAGAGAGGCATCCATCTATGTTTTTCCCCTTCATGTAACGACTAAGATGGAGATTAAACGGATCATGCAGTCTCTGTAAGTTGAATGTATAAATCTATACAAGCCAATCTCACACTGATATTTCCAAACTAGTTATTTGCATTACGTTACACCGCCTTGCAATCTGATTCATAAGTAAACTATCAGAATGCTTCTCAATGCAGCAGTGCGATAGTTTTACGCAATGTATCAACCCGAAAAATCAGACTAGTCATCAAGGTCAACCAGTAATCCGTTGCACCTCATTCTTCTTTAATAAGACCTTACAAAGCAAAAGTTAATGGGGGCTTTAAACCACAAATCATGACAGGCGAACGATCCCAATTTAAATTTTCGTTATTCAAAGTATACCAACTTTCAAAATTAATAGGATTAAGGAACAATGAGAGAAGAAAGAGATCAGTGGTGTAAAACTGTAAAGAACTTTTATACCTGAGCATCATACATCACAATGCCTGCATAAACAACGGTAAGGCCAAATATTGAATCCGAAAGGCCCCTGGAACGAAACAATACAGTTATGAGTAAGATACCCTGACAAAGATGTTTGTATCCAGAAATGTTTGTTTATACACATGAAATTGAGGAGAAAGTATACGAGCGGTGCATACTTTTCAAGGCCAAGGGTTGTAGCAGTAGCCACCATTGCCTATCCAAAAATGGAAACAAAAATCGAGTTAATCAGCGTCAGCTAATCAGTATCCAAAACTCAACTGAGTAAAATGAATCAAGGGCCTGTTTGAAAGTGCTTTTTGTGCCAATAGCGCTTCTAACAACATTTGACAGTTAAAAATTAAAATCACCTTGAATTCTTAGTAAACATTTATGTGTTCTTCCAGCAAAAGCTGCTCATGCGCGGAAGTGCTTTCTAAATAAGCATTTCGAAACCGACCCTAACTTAATTATATCGTTTACTGATTGAACATTGAGCAAAACAGTAGTAAAAGTACAGTAAAAGGGGGCTTACAGAGGAATGGGAGGAAGGGAATCCCCCAGCCTGAACGACCGCCTTGAAATCAAACTCTTTCCCATACAAAATCACAGAAGTCACCGGCTTCGTGAGCTGCCCAACTGCCATTGAAATTCCAGCCGCAATCAAAACCTTCCCAATCCAAAACAAACACAAAGCCCAAAACTTTATCTCAGTAACTAACTCCACCACCAAAAAAATCCCAAAAAAAATGCAGAAATTCAGTAATTCCAAGCAGAAGATGGTAAAAAGCAAGAAAATTTAGAGGTACCCGGAATCGAATTCCACCTTGTTATGCGCGAGCTGATCGATTCCGTCTAGCAACTGAGCTCTGAGGCAAAAGGGTGCTGCTGAACGGCGTCGCTTATAAATGGCTTTGTGCTGGGTTTCCGAGTGGGAAAAAGCCAGAGAATTGTGAAGCGCTGTGGAGCTCGAAACGCTCCAAGGCTGCAGCAGCAACATTGTCTCCGACTTTCTCGGCGTCTCTCGACCTCGCCGTCTTCCTGTCCACGTGAATAACTTAACCAAAAAAATGGAAAACCTCGAACGACGTCGTTGATGTCTTGCATCCTTTGTATATATTATTTTTCGAAATTTTTACGAATTACACTTTTGGTACTGTTCAATTTTAACAAAAAATCACATTTTTCCTTTTCTCTGATACTATTTACTACATCTTTATTTGTCATTTCCCATTAAAACTAAAGATTTTTTAGATTTTTCGTTAGTTTTCTTTTTATTTTTTTATGAAGAGCAATTCATTGAAGAAAAAATCTACAAATACAACCGTATTTAGAACCGTCAAATAAAAGGGGTACAAAGTAGTATTAAGTAACTTTTTCATCCCTACTTACTAAGTCTTTGCACGTATTAAGTAATTTTTTTTATCTTTGCTTGCAAAGTTTTTATTTTTTTTTGAACAATACATACTAAGTTTTTCTTCATGTATTTTTATCATACTTTATATTCTATTTATATTGTCTTCGGCAACCATGAATATTTGTAATGTTCATCTAAATTTTTCACTATTAAATAGAATAAATTAAAAAAAATCAATAACAACAAAATAATTAGAATATATAAAATATAAATAAATGTGTGAATAGCAATATATGTATTTTATCTCAAATAAATGAATATTGACCTGAAAAAAAATAAATCTTTTATTTTTCTCAAATAAAACCCTAAATACTCTTTTTTTTTTTCTTTTCCTGGAAGTAAAACCCTAAATCCTTGTTTTATTTTTTTATTTTTTATTTTTAATTCTTCTGAATTTTCCCTATGGTCTAAATGATTAAATCCTTAAAACCCTAACAAATCTCCTGATACAGCAAAATACTCCCAATTGGTGCAACAGATTTCAAAAACCCATCTCTTCTAATCCTCTAATCCCACTCAGCCTTCGCATTTTTCAAAGCCTCCAACCCCGTCTCCTCCATTTCGGAAAGCTCCATGCATAAGCTGCAATTAGCTCCCTTGCAGAATCAAAAAGTTGAACTGAAACTCCTCCCTGATTGGTTTTCAAGGTTCAAATTTTCTCATCGATCCGAAACGGATTGAGGATTTTACAGCGAATAATCCCGAGTAGATTGCAAAGCGCAAAACCCAGAAACGAAAAGCTTGAGAATTTACTTGCAGAGATTAAAACAATGAGAGAATGAATCTCTTACCTCCTATACTTCGACCCATCTGCTACTTCACTCTCAAACCCCCGTGGCGGCGCCATTTCAGCACCTGCTCGGAGGCCTCCGTCACTGCCAATGAGCTCCTCACTATCCTCGAAACAGTCAACGGTATGGAGGACGCCCTGGAGCCCTTGGCCCCCAAGCTCTCCAGTGACGTAGTGAGATCAGTGATTCGAGAACGGGTGAACCCACAACTGGCTTTTCGTTTCTTCATCTGGGCAACCAATAGAATGAAGCTTTGCAGCCGAATGTCTCAGAATTCGGTGATTGACATGCTTGTCAGGGACGATGCCTTTGAACTCTATTGGAGAACGCTGGAGCAGATAAGTGAATACGGGTTTCCGATTGGTTCTGATGCCTTTGCTGTGCTGATCAATGGCTATGACAAACTGGACAGGGTTGAAAAGGCTGTGGAGACGTTCGCCCGGATGAAAGATTTCAATTGTAAGCCTAATGTCTCTACTTACAATTCGATACTGCATGTTTTGGTGCGAAAAGAAGTGTTTTTGTTAGCTTTAGCTGTATATAACCAGATGTTGAAGTCGAATAATAGGCCTACTAGAAATACATATGGAATTTTGATTGATGGGTTTTGCAAGACAATGCAAACCCAGGACGCGCTCCAAATGTTTGACGAAATGACCCAGAGAGGCATGGCACCCAATACCGTAACTTATACTATTGTTGTTTCTGGCTTGTGCCAGGCAAAGAGGACCGATGAGGCGCATAGGTTGGTTAATATGATGAAGGGAAGTGGGTGCTCTCCAGATTTGATTACTTACCATGCTTTACTTGATGGTTATTGTAAGACAGGTAGAATTGGTGATGCTTATGCGCTCCTCAGGTCATTTGAGAGGGATGGTTATGTTCTTGGACTCAATGGATATACTTGTTTGATTCAAGGTTTATTTAAAGCTAGGAGATTTGATGAAGCACATGGGTGGTATAGAAAAATGATCAAGGAGGGCATTGAGCCTGATAACGTCTTGTGTACTATAATAATTCAGGGATTATCAGATGCTGGCAGAGTTCACGATGCTTTGAGTTTCTTGAGTGAGATGAGCGAGAAAGGTTTGGTTCCAGATGCCTACTGTTATAATGCTGTCATTAAAGGGTTCTGTGATTTGGGTCTTTTGGATGAAGCTCGGTCTCTTCATCTTGAGGTCTCAAAGCAAGATTGCTTCCCTAATGCCTGCACATACACCATTCTCATTTGTGGTATGTGCAAGAACGGGCTGGTAGGGGAGGCTCAACAATTATTCAATGAGATGGAGAAGCTTGGATGTGTTCCTACTGTTGCAACCTTCAATGCTCTTATTGATGGACTTTGTAAGGCTTCTCTGCTTGACGAAGCACACTTACTATTCTACAAGATGGAGATAGGACGAAACCCTTCATTATTTCTTCGTCTTTCTCAAGGAGTTGATCGGGTTACCGACAGTACCAGTCTTCAAACAAAAGTTGAGCAATTGTGTGAGTCAGGATTGATTCTTCAGGCTTACAAACTTCTAATGAAGCTAGCTAATAGTGGGGTTACGCCTGACATCATCACTTACAACATTCTAATCAATGGGTTTTGCAAGGATGGTAACATAAATGGTGCTTTTAAGCTCTTCAAGGATATGCAACTGAAAGGGCTCTCCCCAGATTCTGTTACATATGGAACACTTATAGATGGACTTCAAAGGGTTGACAGAGAAGAGGATGCCTTTGTGGTCTTTGACCAAATGGTGAAGAATGGGTGCACGCCTAGCTCTGCAGTTTACAAAGCACTGATGACTTGGTCTTGCAGAAAACAGAAGGTTTCTTTGGCTTTTAGTCTTTGGTTGAAGTATCTGAGAAACCTTCCTAGCAGAGAAGAGGAAGAAATCAAAGCAATAGAGGAGAACTTTAAGGAAGGAAAAATTGAGAAGGCAATCAGAGGCTTGCTTGAAATGGATATAAAGTTCAAAGAGTTTAATTTAGCACCATGCACCATTTTGCTTATTGGTATGTGTCAGGTGAGAAGAGTACATGAAGCTTTGAGAATATTTTCTGTTCTTGATGAGTACAAAGTCACTGTCACTCCACCAAGTTGTGTGCACTTGATCAGTGGTCTCTGCAAAGAAGGGAATTTGGACCTGGCAATAGGTGTTTTCATTTATACTCTGGAGAAGGGTTTTATGTTAATGCCAGAAATATGCAACACGCTGCTCAAATGTCTTCTTCGTTCCCAAGACAAAAAGGATCATGCCCTTGACCTCGTTAGCAGGATGAGATCTTTAGGATATGATCTCGATTCTTATCTTCAGCAAACTACAAAGTTTCTTCTACAATGTCACGGGAACTAAAGAGAAATGGAAACTGTCTCTTGGATAATTTTTGCTCATGTCTGGCACTGAGGAGCTACTTTGGTCCTGAGCCTGCAATTGCTTGTGGGTTTGATTTTTACTGACAAGGTAACATCTCTTTTCTCCTTTTCACTCAATTTTAATTTGTCTGTCCGGTCTTTGTTTTACATGTTGTGGTGTTGTTTCTTTATTATGATAATGATTAGCATTGGTTTTGCAAGCTCGCAATGTAGTATTTGTTCTATATGTATAAGAACTTCTAGCCTTGACAGTTTTCTTCTTGTCATGAAATTCTAGCATTTATGTTTCTACATTCTGCTAGAAGAGCTGAATTTTTAACTACATTGGACTACTTATCCTTGTTTTTGTATTTGTTACTGGGTATGTGTGAATTATTGTTGCTTATAAGGAAAACATTGGAACTGTGGCCTTTTAATTTTTGGTTTCAATTAGCTTGTGGATTTGTTTCATTGTAGTTCTTATCTTCAAAGAAAAGGATAAACTACAAAATACAAATATGTAACCAGCAATTATCATGTTATTGATATTTCTTCCTTTCCCTTATGTCTGCAGATGTACCACATGTATCTTTTCAAGCTTCTGGAGTTGTTCAATTGTAGCTCCCGTCTGTGGAGAAAAGGGTAAACTACAAATATAAAAACAAATAAACAAGCAGCATTTTTCGTGTTATTGATATATTCCTTTCGCTTATGTCTACATATGTAACACCTTATGTATCGTTTCAAGTGCTATATTGAATTTATTGATCATTATTTGATGTGGCAAATAGATAATTACTTGAGAGACCGGCACATTTGTTTAATGCGTATACTTTTTTAATACTTAAGCTTTCACCAAGCGCCCTATTCATGAATAAAGGCTTTTTTTTTTTTTTTATTTTTTATCTTTCTTCACGCTGTTTCAGTCTATTTAATTAACCTAAGCATACTTGTATGTATGTGTGTACTGTGTAGTTATGTGTTTGCAGATATGCCTGTGTTATGTGAGGACCGTGTGTTCCACTTGTTTAACCTGAGTTGTCACAATCCTGTCGACTTGGTGTGAAAGGTAGCAGGCTGAGAAGGCCTGTGCTAGGTTATATAATAGATGGGTCTGTGATATGTTTCTCTATCTTGGTCGACCCTTAATTTTTCTACCCTTGCACAACTGCACTAAGATTTCTGTTTAATTAATATATGTTGCGCTGTTTTATTTTTATTCTTTTTGCAACATGGTGAGCATGATATTGTGTTGATCCCATCTATATGTTTACATAGGCATACTTGTTCTGCTTAACAAGGAAGTCAACAGAAATTTGATCGTTTTGGTTTTCCTTTCTTTCTTTCTGCTTAGACATAGTTTCTCTTTTGCATTTTTCAAGTTTCTTCCCTGATATGATTGGTGATTTTTGTTTCAGCAGTCCAAAAAAGCCAAGGAAACATTTCACCTGATCATTCTATGATTTCTCAGGAACTTGTGTTATTTTTTGTTTTCCGGATAAACCAAGGAGCAAGTTTATTTGCTGATAGTCATGCCATCAACAAGAGTATTGCCGGGTTTTCAGTTTCTCATTTTTAGACTAGAATTATGCATGGTAACTTGACTTGTTCTCAGTGGTTCTCTAAGATTGACTTGCCAAGTGACTTGATATATCTTGGTACGTAGTATGGAGTTTATTTAGTTCAAGTTTGACTTTTCTGGAACCTATGAATTTCGAGCAATTACATCCCTCTTATTCTGGGCTTATGGAAGCATAATTTTTTTGCAAACCATTGCTTTCTATATTGCATTGATTGTCAGCTTATGGATATGCACTGCATCTGGTATGGAATTTCTCATTTTTCAGTTATGTTCTCGGGTTGGACAGAATGCATTGCCTTGCTACCCTAATTGTCCTAAGTGGTGCAGCAGCAGTATGTTTAGTGTGTTAAAGAGACTTGTTAAAGCATCTTTGAGTTTCTGTAACCATTGTAGGTGCAATTTAATTGTAATTAAGTGGACGTATTGATGTGTAAAATTAAATATTCTATTCTCATTTATTTCCATGGACAGTTTTCTACTGATTGTCTTTATATCTATTGCTTATCTCAGGTTTGCTCCTCGCTGGCATGCTTCTCTTTCGAGTCTCTCTTTTCACACCCAAGTTTCTACTTGGGGTTCTTTTATTGCCCAGGTTGGAAGGTTGATTATAAGCTGCAACTTACAAGAGTTCAAATCGAGTTTTCCTTTGTTATGCCTTGAAAAGCATCTTTTCTCCTAAAGAATTTTGCCCACTACCAATTTTGACAGGATCACACAGGAGCAGCCGTTGCTATATTGGATAAATGAATGGTGAAGAACAACAAAGCAGCAGTCACTGAAGTCTTATTTCAACGGCAGTGTCATACTAAGGAAGATGTCTTCACCCAGGAGAGTTTCCGGATAAGGATTGATTTTTTGCCACTGGGAAAATGTTGGCAAACGAGAGCTATTCCAGCAATTCTAGCAAGTTATCATGGATATGCAGGACACCAAGAAACTTGGCAGGAAGTCTGTTAGCAGTGAACTTTTGTAGTTAGGAGGGTGTTAGTTTTGGCAGAAGAAGCCTAGCTGCAAACCAAGCTACAAGGGCGAGTAAGTTTTGCACTTTTTTTCGACATGCTTTGTGTGGTCAAGACGCGAGAATCATTTGTTTCGGTATCTTGGTAGAAGGTTCTGTTATTATCGTCTGATTAGAGGTTGAGCAGTGGATTAATGATTTGTTGAAGGTTAATCTTAACTTTGATCTTCTATTTCTGTTGTAGGTTCCATGTTTTCTTAACAATCCTTGTAAGATTCGGTTTCATAATTCGTGAAGGCTGAAGCTCATCAAGTAAAGAAAACAGAGGAATACTGAAGCATGCTCAGGACAATTGCTTGCTGAATCGGCATGTATGTGATAAATGTATACCTAGGACAAACTATCTTATGAACTACTGAGCAAATGCATCGTCAGAGCAAGATTATAGTTTTCTCAATTGAATTGTAGGTAGGTCGAAGAGAGCAACTTACATGTCACATGTCACACGGCTTTTGCCTATCTCTCCTCGTTACGTGCCACCACGTGGAGAAATTTAGCAACTTTATACTACTTTTTGTATGCACATTGGATTATTGAATTGAATCTCATGACCCAAAACAAGCTGAGGGAATGAGTCCTGAAAGCTGACCCACCTTTTGTACTACTTTTTGTCTGTGCCCTTTGCTACTCGACTCTTGAGGGTGCGGTTTCCTTACATGGAGACATTTTGTGGTCCGGAACCCGGTGTTTCCTAGTGATGAAGAGACAAACAACACCCCAGCCCCCTCTCACATGTCCCTGTGCCGGGTTCTGCACACAAAACTCTCCACATGAGAGCTTAAGGAGTGTTTAATTTGAGTTCAATAGGTGATTATGAATCTTTTAACCGTGATGTTTTTTGTCGATCTTTTACCTAGTACATCATTGTTGTAGCGTCTTGTGCTAATCATAAAATTACATATAATTTTTTTTACATTATATGTTTAACACGAGATGCCATAATAATTATATATCCACGTCATAGGAATTGATCTCAGAAACAAGGTTCCACAAAACCAAATTTGTAAAAATCCGAATTGGAAAAAGCATGTTAACGGGCCCCTTTGAACGGACCCGGATTATGTGGGCGGGGTTTAACCGAAAGCAGAACTGGAAGTTGGTAACTTGGTCCGTTGGCGTAGTAGGGTTTTAGGTTTTAGTAATCGTCCAAACCTCCGAGTCAGTGACTCAGTCTCCATTTTTTATTGGTGAATCGGTGACTCAGCCTCAATGAGCAAAAACAAAACTTGGAGAAGCTTCAATGGTGAATCCCAAGTAAGTTCTCTCTCTCTCTCTCTCTTCCCCTTTTGGTTCTTCTCCAATTGGAAATCCATGAAGGCGTCGTTGCTGCAATGAGTCTGAAAATCCTCCATGTATATGTTGCTTTCGTCCATTAGACTGGGTTTTCCCAGAAAACGCAGTCACCCCACCCAAAACAATCACAACCGTTTGATCTTCGCCCATGGCGGCAGTGGCGGCGGTGCTTTCAAGTGGGCATCTTCCCAGGCGGCACTTGCCCTCTGGAACTCCAGTTCCTCCCACTCTGATGAATCATCTGATGATAATTCTGTCACTGTTTGTACCACAAACGTCGCCACCAATGCCGCCAATAGAACCCATTTCTTCTCCGAATTAGATACTTCTGGGGTTGTTAGCAAGCTCAACTTTCTAAGAAACGAACCCAGTTTGGCGATTTCGTTCTTTCACCGGGTGAAAGGAGATGGCTTTCGACACAATGTCTACACGTATTCCGCGCTTATTAGAATATTGTGCTGTTGGGGTCTGGATAGGAAGTTGGATTCTCTCTTTGTGCACCTTATTAATTGCTGTGAAGACCTTGAATTCGAGATTTCGGATTTGATGGAAGCGATTGAGGAGGGAATTGAGGCTTCCCCATCAATGATCCGAGCTTATGATGCATTGCTCAAGTCTTTTGTCAGTTTGAACATGTTCGATGAGGCTATTGATGTTTTATTCCAGACAAAAAGGCGTGGGTTTGTGCCCCATATCTTTACGAGTAATTTTCTAATGAACCGCTTGGTTGAGCATAGTAAAGTGGATATGGCTGTGGCTGTATACAAGCAGTTGAAGCGGATTGGTATGAACCCTAATGATTACACTTACGCAATTGTCATCAAGGGACTCTGCAAGAAAGGAAGCTTGGAAGAGGCCGTGGAAGTATTTCAGGAGATGCAGGAAGCCAGGGTAACCCCTAGCGCCTTTGCTTACACAGCATATATTGAAGGGCTTTGCACCAATCACAGGCCGGATTTAGGGTACCAAGTGCTCCAAGCATGCCATGGGGAAAATGTCCTTATCGATGTGTATGCTTATAACGCTGTCATTCGTGAGTTCTGCAACGAGATGCAGTTTGATGAAGCTGAAAGCATCTTTCTTGACATGGAAAAGCGAGGGCTGGTCCCTGATTCATATACCTACGGTGCGATGATCAGTGGCTACTGCAAGAGTTCCAAGTTGTTAAAAGCTTTGGCTCTTCATAATGACATGGAGTCAAAGGGTATAAAAACAAATTGTGTGATTGTTGGTTTGATTCTTCAATGCATGTGTAACATGGGCATGCCTTCTGAAGCGGTGGATCAGTTTAGAGAATATAAGAGCTTGGGAATCTATCTTGATGAGGTTTCCTACAATATCGCGGTAGATGCCTTTTGCAAGCTGGGGAAAATGGAACAATCCTTAGAATTGCTTGAAGAGATGAAGTGTAAGCATATGGTTTTAGATATTATGCATTACACGACATTGATCAAGGGCTACTTTCTCCAAGGGCATGTTGTTGAGGCCGTAAGTTTTTTAAAGGAAATGAAGGAAAAGGGTCTGAAGCCAGACATCACTACGTACAATGTACTTGCTGCTGGGTTTTGTAGAAATGGCCTCGGAGCCGAGGCGCTTGACCTTTTGGATTATATGGAGGCACGTGGTTTTAAACCAGTCTCTGTTACACACAACATGATAATTGAAAATTTATGTGTAGGAGGAAAAGTCAAGGAAGCTGAAGCGTTTCTATACAGTTTGGAATATAAGAATGCGGCTACTTATTCTGCCATGGTCAGCGGGTACTGTGAAGCCAACCATACAAAAGAGGCCTATGAACTTCTTATTAGGTTAGCAAAGCAAGGAACTTTAGTTAAACAAGGCGCTTGCTTTAAAGTACTCAGTAAACTTTGTATAGAAGGTGATAATGACAGAGCTATTTTGTTGCTTGAGGCAATGTTGGCGTTAAATGTGGATCCTAAAAGAATTATGTACAACAAAGTCATAGCTTCTCTCTGCCAGGCTGGAGAGGTGAAAAAGGCCCGTTGGGTTTTTAATTCTTTGGTTGAGAGAGGGTTACCTCCTGATGTCATTACATACACAATGATGATGAATAGCTACTGCAAGGTGAATTGTTTGCAAGAAGCCCATGCTCTCTTCCATGATATGAAAAAGAGAGGGATTCAACCTGATATCATCACTTACACAGTTTTGCTCGATAGTTTTCCCAAAGGAAATGTAAGAAGGGTTAATTCCTCTGGAGATGCAAGTAGAGATAAGGAAGAAACTTTTGATGCGTGTACTGTTTGGACTGAGATGAAGGAAATGGAAATAAGACCCGATGTAATTTGTTATACTGTTTTGATAGACAGGCAGTGTAAAACAGACAACTTTCAGGATGCTATTGCACTTTTTGATGAAATGATGAACAGAGGATTAGAGCCCGATACAGTGACATACACGGCTCTTCTAGCTGGCTGTTGTAGAAGGGGAGATGTGGATAGGGCTGTAACACTCGCTAATGAGATGTCCTCTAAGGGAATGCTGCCAAATGCCCGTATACTCTCGATTCTACAACGTGGAATCCTAAAAGCCACAAAAGTGCAGTATCGGAAGTAAGAACTTTCTTCGATCATCTGTCCTGGATAGACCCATGATCTGTGAATCAATGAAGCCCGAACGGCATAGCATGGTAAGTTTTCTATCAAATAATGTGGATAATTTGTATTGATTTGCATAATGCACAGCTTTTTGTTGTTCTGTTTTGATGGATGGCAATTATTCTGCAGCTGGAGTGGTGTCCTGAAAAAAAGGATATGGCTTGCCCAAAATGACTTGGCGGTCACGGCAACAGGGATATGTATACATTTAGCCCTCCCCAGATCCCACAGCGGCAACCAAGAAGAAAACTTTGTTTGTAGGTGACCTGGAAGTCAATTATGCCTAGGTAACACTATAGCTTTGCATATGATTAATTTACAGCATATAAGATACTCGTACTTAACCGTCATATTTGTTTCTATTATTCGTGTCACCCCTCTTAACTTTTGATATTGCATACTGAACAGCTTTGTTGTTTCATTATGATGGGTGATATGCAGTGCTCAAAGTGACTTGCGTCGTGGAAATAGGGATATGCATACATCTAGCCATCCCAGGCCCCATTGGTAGGAGCCCTGTGCACTCGAAGTCAGCTAGAGGAGAAGAAAGCTTTGCTGGTCAGTTAGCTGGAGGTCAACTACATATTTGCGTATGATCAAACTACATCGTTTGAGAGTCGCAAAGTAGTCGTATATACATTTCTAGCTTCATACATAAATATTGCATATATTTGTTTCTATAATGTCTTCGCTAACAACACGAGAATCGCGTGTCTTCTGCTTTCATCTAATCCATCAAAGGCACTTGATTGCATGACTAGAATTCTGCTTTTCCCCTTTTTCATTTTAAATATTTTGAAGGGGAACGCGAGAGTCGAACACTAGCCATGAGTTTGGCAGTAAGTGCTCTACCGCCACAACCATTTTAACAAAGTTCAGCAAACCTCTTTCTGGGCTTGAAATTATTTCCGTCCTGTTCCCTCAGCGTATACTCGTTATATAATGAATCAGATATTTTCTTTGATCCTTACCGGGATTTGCCTTTTATATTCCGTCCATTGCAGTGCCTCACTCACCGTTTCCGGTCTGTATATATACTTTTGTAAATGTCGAGAAAGAATAGTCGAAAAAATCTGAGCTTTGGGGTGTACTTGTTTGCAGGTCAGTTTCTGCATAAGCTATACGCAGCAAGTCATGGGATAAATGAAGTGCCGAAACAGTGGAGAGAGTTGCTACCGTGTCTATGAAAAACCATGACCTGAAAGAAGTTGAGGAACCCTGACATGGTTTTTTGACTATTGCGACTCGATGATGCCAATGCCGAGCCAGCCTTCACCTTCAAATTTTGCCTTGTTAATTTTTCATATACAAGCGAGAGTAAGAGGAAGGTGAATCGAACTTGGAACTTCGGGTGCAAATATAAATTCTCCCAGTCACATCGAACTTGGAACTTCGGGTGCAACTATAAATTCACCTAGTCACTTAGCCTACAAACCACTTTCTCTATCAATGAAATTATGAAATTCAAACCATCAACTCGTCCCAACAAAATTGATGCATGTTTCTTTTTATCTTTTTCTTGTATTATTATGTGATTCAATTGTGGATGAGATTCAAACGTAGAACCTCACTCTACAAAATCGGAGGATTAGTACCATTAATCTAATTGGTATTTGGTGGATGATGTGCTTTCTAGGTTTAATTAAACATAAGAGGCTTGTAACTCAGTTCTTCGGAAACATTACCGCTTATGATCGAGGTATCTAACAAAATTTTAATTGAAATTGTTCAATTCCTTAATCTTAATTTGAAAATCATTCCTAAAAATAAATAAATAAATAAATCATCTGAATTTCAAATTGTTTATGCACACACAACTGAAACTAGATGAAAAAACAACTTTTGAGTCCCACATCGGGTAAACTTTGATTGTCACAATTATTTATTAGGAAGCGCATTAAATTTAAGTATCGCAGAGCCTAGTAATGTAGACTTGTAACTAAGCAAGGCCTTAAAGAATTTGATGGATGATGGAGTTTGGGTGAGTATACTCCACCTTTT